ACATCTACAAAATCAACAACTCAACAATCTGATTGTTCCATTTAAAACCAGACTCTCTACATGTTTCCTGGCAGAAATTCCCCTGTGACAATTCAAAATAAATCATGAAACTAAAGCTTGATGATTTGTAATCACAATAAACTATAGCCAGCACTTTGACATCCAGAGTGTGGATATAGTTTCTGTATATTAGTACATAACTAGATGTTGTGGGCCCTTAGTTTTTGGTTTACAAATTTGGCAGCACCAAGATGCAGGTTTGGGCTGATGGTGCCTATGCTCTAATGCAGCTTTATAACAACCCTCCCTCTATATGTCTTGGTCTTGTTATACTTTTGTGTGTGTGTGTGTGTGTGTATGTAGTTCTTTGCTGAGGACGGTTTGAACCGAAGCTCTTTAAATCCAGTACATTTAAAGTAATTTCACGCTCAACTGCATTATCAGCTTGTATCCAAAGGAAAATCTATGTTTGAAAAACTAAACCCTGACGGCAAAATTCTGGCCTCACTTAGTACACATGATAAATCTATGGGTTCCAACACACGCTATGGTTGATGATCTTGTTTTTTTTTTGGTCCATTACAATTGATTTGATTTTCTTGAGATGGTTTTGTGATGCTCATCTTTTTCAGGACTATTATCAGAGATAATGACGGAATATGTAATTATTTAATATTCATTATCTCAGGAAAAGGTCAATTACACTGTTAATTTATGATGATGACTTCCTCATCATCATTATATATGTAATAAGATTACGACATGTGTTGACCTACCCACACAGTATATAATCCGTCAGTTAGGCTCTGGTGTCCCTAAAAGCCTCTCAGCCGGCTCAAAGATTCATCTCCATGATAAAACAGACTTTGACAGAACATGTTAAACCCATTAAAATGAGAAATTGACATCCTGATCACCAGAAACCCACATTTGATGTCCCCAGATAACAATATAATTACGTTATGCTTAAATCCACTTCCTCCGTCATACCTCGTTACCTTGGTCTCTAGTTGTAAGTGTCAGGTACAGAAGGGTAAGTGGTTTTCATTGAACCCTTTTGAATGTGCAGTCGCTACCTAAAGACGCTGTGATAAAGGCTTTAAATCAACTTAACGCTGTGTCCTGAAACAATCTTTTTTCCTCCTCACCCTGTAGAGTTTCCTTTAGACCCCACAAAGAGGAGACTCTGTCACTGTCAACTCAACTCTGAGATAAAACCACTTTATTTGATGTCTTTAACATCACTGAATACATTTACAGCCCCACCGTTTCTACCTTGATCCTGCCTCTGAAATAGTTTTGCATTGTTTGCACAGAGCCAGTTCTATAGCAAACCAACACATTAGAGTGAGATGATTGATATGTATGGTATGTGATGCAACTGTAAACCATGGCTGCATGGAAGAAGCCAAACGATCCTTTCCTTTCTGTCACTGAAGGTTAATTCAGGTTTGTTACAACCTTGGTCTTATTTTTGTAACTTTTGCCACTGCTCACTGAGTTAATGGTGAGATCTGGAAACATGGTAACACTGGACATGGTAAAAGCTCCAATACAAATCAAGACATAGGAACAGTCAGATGATCAGAGAAGATAGTAACGATACAACAGTCAGGCTCTGTCCCGTCCCTTGGCCCTAATCCTAGATATGAAGTGTCCTTTTCCCGGGAGTGTCCCCCTTCAGATGGAGCCACAAAGGAGGAGGGCAAGAAAATCTTGGGACACCACTCACTATGTCATCAGCAGCCAACCAATGTTATAACAGTGACAATCAATATCAACCAACAATATTATATTAACAACCCTTATCAACCAACACTGTGATAGTTACACATCTGGCAACTGCAGGGCAGATTGATCCATTCAGTCAGCTTGCTTACATCGGTTATTTCAATGTAACATTAGTCCCTTACATAGAAATGTCTGCCCCGCACAAAAAAATGTTATAACATGAACAGGGACATTTTTTTCAAACTTAATTAACAGGACACAGGAGTAGCTAATGCTGTTTACAGGTTTGTTTTGATGGCATAATAGCAATTTTCCTGAAACACTAGTCACAGCAATTCAATTATATTTTCATTTGCTGATGAATTAAAATAAGATATTCATTATCTTCATCCGTTTGTAAAGCATTTAGGGATTTCGGCCTACTTCTTCATTTCTAGAGGGATCCTGAATACACTATAGTTTAACGAGTGTTTGAAGGGCTGGATGACCGTGAATCCCTACATTCAAGATTCAGATTCAAGATTCAAGGTCTTTATTGTCATACTCAGATACAATGAAATTGTAAGAGGCTTCTCTCTCCAAGATATATCTATATACAGGTGTAAAAAATATAGAGAAATGGGAAAACACTACCCCTTCACGACCAATGCGCAAAACAAAGTTGTAGGGCCAAGTCCTGGACTAAAGGGTGAATTGGGACAGGGCGTTAATACAGTTTATCCAAACGATGCCCCAGTCCAAGCTCTGTTGGCTTAAAGATGATATCTGACAAGAACATAAAATATCTATAGATATGGCTTTATTCATAATAAAGGCTTATACTCAATATATATTTGTTATCCAATAAGTTTTGGGTAATTAAAAAGTTCGAACTGGCTCAGAACCAGTTCAGACATCAAAATGTATGTACCAACTTGACAGTTAATGAAAAAGTCAAATGTGATTTTTGTTGAAATTCAAGGAGAGCACTTTACAGTCTGCCCTGGGAGATGTTCATAGTGTTGTACTGGCTTATCCTTGTGAAAACTGATGGATGATGATTGTTACATAACAAAAGGGAGCTTTCGATAGATAGTGTGGCCACATATTAGATGCAGGCCGCAACAGCTGTGATTGGTCCACGAGGTGACATGTCCCATCCATGTCTCTCAGCCGCCAGACAAGAACACACAAATCACCCTCCCTCTGCCTAATTCAGTTCTGTCAATCATCTCCGACGCTTTCTTGCTTTTCATATTTTTCATACAGGTACACATCAAGCAGCATAGGCAAAACTCCATCAACAGGCGATTTGTCAGTGTATTTGCAGAGCAACACTTATGGAACATTCTGTAGGTCCAAAATAAGGTTGAGACAGTATGACCTACAGCAGAATCTTTTCAAGCCTTTGTAACCCGGTACCGTTACACTCCCAGGTATCACATCCAGATGTGTAGAAACTATGATAAGGTTTCTTTAAAAAACCAGGATGTGATATTGAAATGCGGAAACATGAACAGGAAAACAAAAATAAGACCCAAGTTGTGTTAAATGGAATCATTCTTGAACAGAAGTCAGTGTCAGTTTAGGTTTTAGATTGGCTGCACTGTGGTTTTCAATAAATGGCTTTAATGGCAGGATTACAAAGACTGTGATCTTAGGACCTTTCATTGTTGCATTTTGTAATGTCTTGTTGGAGCTATTCTCTATTTGTGCCTTCTGCCAAGACCTGCACAGCTAGCTGCTGTATTTGGTCCTTGTGAGAGTCAATGCACCCATTTATCGCATTACATTCATAATGCCTGATGTTTATAGAAATAGTCAAGGCAGTGCTTGTGTGCATTTTAATTTCTGACTGTTGGTTGAGGCCAAGAGGAAAGCTTCTTTTTTCATTTTCAGTCTAGACGTCCTTTGACTGAGTAAGGTGACAACTTGGTAATGTTAACAGAACAGTATCAAAGCACAAGGTTTAAGATATTAGAGAGAACAGCCATATACTCTGAAAGACTGGAGCTTCACCGATTCTCATCAGAGGCAATTAGTTAAGCCTACTGTAGTCGCTCACAGCAACAGAATACAAAGTTCAACATGCTGGCCCTCTTTATAATGATTTTTCTTTGTTTCCCATGTCTGCTGAGAATGTCCTGAAAACATGACAAATCAGAAAATCAGTTGGCTTTAACAGGATACTGCATCTCCCTATTACACCTGTCTGCCCCTGCCTTTATACATCCCCAAGGCAGAGCTCCACTTTGTCATTATGATCATTTTTTTTACAACTTTTTTCTTTAGCGACTTCAAAATAACCCCTCCCAACACATACACACATTCACGCTCACACATTTACGGTACCTCTATGACTAGAATGGAAAAGAGAAAAACAAAAACACAACATTTGCTCTGAACGTACGCTCAGTCAACAGTTTGCTCAAAACGGGAAGGGTTCATTAAAAAGGAAAATACACTTTGAATAAAAGAGAATACATGTATAAAATGCTAAATGGCTTATGGGATCATAAGACGGAATGGAATGCACTTACACATGAATGAAAATGGTCATGACATTTCCTGGTTGTTACTTCTCTGGAATATTCTGTACAATAATGTAGAACAGTCAAGGTCCTGGAGGTCCTGGAGGTCCTCGCTGCCCACATGTCCCACGTAACTGGAGGGACCTCAGAAGCTGGAATACTGAAAATTAATAGATGGCCTTTAAACATGATCCCAGTTAAGCAAGTTATATGGTTTCATGTCTGGTCGGGTCCTTTGTGATTCATCACACAAGGACCCTCCAAGAAGAAACTTCCAAGGATCTTTGATTCTCTCCAATACTGCTGATTCCTTCAGTTCTCCTCAATCACAGCCAACAGACCAGTTAACATGAGTTATAAGCAGTTCACAGGTTCAACACCATTGTCAATCACCTTTTGAGGTTTAGAGCCACTCTAGCTACAACCACTTACGATCATGAATTAAGTCTTTCAGTGTCTCCATGTATTTCCTTTGCAACCTTCCGTGGTCATGGTCCATTTCATTGTCTGCTGCACAACAACATAACAAGCACGACTTCAAAAATTTTGATAATATTTTGTCAGTTCTTCAGTTTTTTTTCTGGTATTTTCAAGATAGCAGATCATCAAGACACCCATGTTTTAAACACACACACATTAAAAAAAAAATCGGAACCAGGAGAGACTGGAGATGAGTGGACGAATGAACATGTTGAATAGTTTTTCTGTTTCTTTGTAGTCGATCTGAGGGATGAGTCGGTCGTCTCGTGGCTGCCATCTTTAGCAGACGGTGCCGTTCTCCTGTCGGGACTTGGGGCAGGTGGATCTGGGTATCGGCTGGACAGAGGGAGCCAGGGTGCAGAAGAAGCCGGCGATGAGGGTGAGGCCGAGGCCTCCCCAAGCGCAGAACATGGACCATCCATAGCCATGGCCAATGTCATCAGGCAGGCCGAACAGATGCCGTGGGTAACGGGAAAGCTCAAAGTTGATGCCAGCGACACAGGTACAGAGGGAAATGATGCAGAAAGTTCCTGCAATGACAGAAGAAGATCTTGAAGGAGAGAAATACTGGACATCAATCTTGTGTGAGTTAAAGAGCAACCATTTCCCAAATTTAAATTTGTGACAACCTTGACATAAGATATTAACAGGTGACATGCTGACAATATCAAACCTTGTCTCCTACACAATATGTCTTCCCATCCCTCCATCTATTCATCTATTATCTATGCCACTTATCCTTTGAGGGTCGCAGGGGGGAGCTCCAGCCAATCCCAGATGACATTGGGCAAGAGGCGGGATCACCTTAGACAAAATATTTCCATGCTCAACTATTATTTAGCAATTCTGAATTATGTAGAAATAAAATTGTCTGGTAGTATTCTATCCCATCCAGGATAATATGACATGTCTTGTATGGCAGATAATTTGTCATATTTAAATCCACACAATCTTGTGTTTTTAAGTAAGCTTTGACCTTTTCCCAACAAGACCACCACATTTTCCTAATCCTTAAAAGGTCAGGGCATACTTGAAACCAACTAGTGTCACGGTCATAGCGTGACTCTCTTTTTTAATTAGTTTTTTTTTTTTTTTTTTGGCTGCCAAGCATGGAGTCAGATTTTATTTCATATAAACCAACCAATGGGCAAATGAAAGAAAGAGAGACGAAACAACAAACTCAATGAGAGATAGACTAGCCATGAAGCCCACCCCAGTTTCATGCTCTTCTTGTTAACTGGCCACAAAGACATTCAGGTTACAGGGTGTTATGGTCTGTTATTACCTAGTACAACCATAATGGTCAGTGAGCATGGATTCTAATGGTGGACCTAAAACAAATCATCACAATAGTACTACTTGTGATGTGACATTAATTCACATGAAGTGTTGCCCAAAGTGTAAATGTGATTGCAGCTGTTGCCATACTGATGATAATGACTCTCTTGTTGAAGACAAGATTTTTTCACATGAAAAGTGACAGAGTAAAAAAGAGCTTAATGGAGAAATTCAAACCATGTCCATTTTCTCACCTTCACAGACACACACTGAGTGGACTAGGTGTGATTACTGGAAATAATCCTGTTTGTGCCGTTACAAAACACATTTGCAGCATTTTTCCGGCTTGTTTGAGAGATGATTCAACTATTAATGCTTTAAGTCCATCAACTGCTGGAAATGCTCCAGTAGAACATCCCCTGATGCTGTCTCTGCATGAAGTGTCAACGCCTTTTACTTCCAGAGCCCTGATATACTTATATAATTCCACCCACTCCATCACTCTAATATGTCTGCATTGAATTGTTGTCAAGTTTATTGGAGGAATTTGTCTTTCTGCTTCTTTTGGTGATGGATCTTTTCCTGAACAATGTCTGCATAAAGTGGAATTCTATAAAAACGGCCGCAATCTGACTAACCACTGATGCACTTACCCAGGAGATCATAAGAAGACAAACAACCAAACCATTTTAAATATTCTCTCCACTTCATCTCTGAACAAATCTTTGACTTTGGATTGATTTTAGTTCATGCAGTTGGTTAATGTGTTCTCATTTTAGGAGCTCTGTGACCCTGTGGGCTGCTTTGCTGTGACTTGGCTGCTGCAGACTGACCCAGCCTGTTTTTTGTGCCTTTATTACCAAGCAACCATAATTGACTTTTTAATTGCCTGTTCATTATACAACTGTAGGGCACAGCACTAATCCAAGGCTGATCATAATTGAGTGTGCAGTTGCCTCCTGCCAACCAAGAGCTGTGCAGCACACAACACATCAGTGTATGTGTGAAACCACTAGTGGTTGTCCACTGCCAGGAATGTGGGACACCCAGGGTTGTGTGTGTCTTTGCATGTCTGCCTGGGTGATGCAGGGGCTAGATACACACACTCATATACTTTCATCTTCATACCTCGTTTGTTTTTATGGTAATGTTCCCACTTGCACTTGAATATGTCCAGGGGTTCTGTAGTCGCAGTGTTATTAACCATCTTGAGCTAATTAAACTACTCTTACTTGTATCCTGGGGGTTTTGATCACTCAATTATGTTTTGAACACAACAGTCATGTGACACATACAGTTGGAACGGAATATGTGTAATGTTAACAAAATGCACATCTTGCCAAGGTTTTTAAAATAGAATTCTAGTCCCGTGAGGTTTGAGGAAGTTTTGTGGTGCAAATTGCGTAATGAAAAATGGGTTATGTTACATTACTAATCGAAGTAAACCATCATCAAAATATGAGATTGTGGACATTTATATTGTGATTTCTCAGTTTCAGAATCGTTACAATCAGAATTAGATGATGAGTCAGCTCTCAACTGTCGTATCTAATTCAAGAAGGTTCGTATACGAGTTCATCCAGGGGCCTTTCTGGAGTTTGAATGTTATCTCTGGGTACTCCAGCTTCCTCCCACAGTCCAAAGACACTCAGAGTGGAGGTAGTTTATCTTAAGACTCTGATCTGTCCGTAGGTGTGAATTTGAAAGTGAATGGTTGGTATGGCACCGCTGCGACCTGTACTCCGCCTCTGGCCTAATGTCAGCTGGCATCGGCTCCAGCTCCCACTTGACCCTCACAGAATAAGCGGCGTCTGAGGATGAGATATTTTGTTGGCATCACGACGGAGAGACGGAGGGAAACAACTGGCCGGATGAAAAATACACTCTTGTTTGTTTAATCTGGACACAAACAGAAACGTAAAATAAATGTTTACATGCTGTAACTAGTGTAGTTCTTGGTAAACAACAGTCAGGTGCAGTGACTATATCACAGTTCTATTATACACACCAACTGTGT